CAAATCATCAAATTTGTGTTGTTGCATTATAGCAGCACGAATGGAACAAGATACTATATAGATAAGAAAATGAATAGTTTTAAATTTTTGTAATTTAAAGAATATTTATGTAACTCAATACCTTTCATTTGCATTTTACATAACTATACCCATTACAGATACATGTCCAAACTGAATTAGTAAATTTTGATGTTTATTTGCTGCACCTCTTGTCTGCCCCCAAGATGGGAAGTGTATGGCATGTCTAGAGGCTCCCAGAAGAGAGGGAGATCAAGCCAGCACTTGGTGGGCAGGAAGGATTTGAATAGTGAAGAAAAGCTATTCCAGATCTTGGAAATCTGTAAAGTACATAAAGAAGGAAGTTGCCTGGGTTGCCAAGTGTTGTTTTACCACACAAGGAAGTGGAAAATGAGGCCAGAAAGATAGGTTGAGGCTAGATTAAAGGAATTTTTAGTCCTAGTATGAGGAATTCACCTTTTTGCATGAAATTATTTTAAAAGGTAGACATATATTATAGGAGAAAAATGACCCATCAAGAAAAATGCTATTGCAATGGGGTAGGTAGTAGAGGCCTGAATTAGGATAGTGGCTATGAGAATAAAATAATGTACTCCAAAATAGGAAATGAAAGGATTTGGTGACTACTCCCTGTGCATTGCTCCCACATCCTCCTCACTTCAGGCAGTCTAAACCGCAATTTTTATTCTAGATAATTGAAAGAATAATTATAACAACAGCAATAAAAATAAAAGTAACCAACATTCCTGTGGTGCTTATTATGTACCCAGCCCTTGTTTAAGTGTTTAATCATCTCAAAAACCTGGTGAAATAAATAGTGTCATTCCCATTTCATTGATGTGAAGTCTGAAGCAGAAGAGATTAGATGATGGGCTCAAGGTCATACAGATAATGAATAGCATACCTAGGACAGGAACCCAAACAGTTGGGCCCAGAGTCTGAAGGAATGCTTCTCCCCATGGTCTCATTCACCAAGCGCTAGCTTGTGGCAGATAGCCCTCGAGTTTCTATCTATTGAAGCTGAAGTGGAACGTCTGAGTGGGAATATGTAGCGGGTAATCAAGACTGAGATCTGAAATTCAGAGAATAGTCAAGATTGAAGACAGGGAATTGAGTACCGTGTACACCTTACTTAATTGACTTGGGTATTGAAGCCATTCCATTACCGAATCTGAGATCAGGGTCTAACCCAGGAGAGGAGGCGTGGTGCTGAGAGGTGATCAAAACAAGATTTTCAGACTGCTGGAAAAAAATGCCTGCAGACTTGGTCACCAAACCTCTTGGTAGTTACATCCTGCTTATCTTTTCTTTCTCATGTATTCTAATGAATTGTAACATAGTATATTGATTTCCATATAATTCCAGGAAATGTGGTGGCTTATAGTATTTTCACGTTTGTTTTTAAGTTCTAACTTCTACCAGTTATTTTAGGACCCTGAAATACTCAATATGGCAATATACCATGAAATATGATGAGCTCAGACATCAAGAACTCAAAGAGTTCATGATAGGATCATCGTTAAGAGAAACCACTTTGGAAAAATGACTGGGTTTGGATCTCAGCCCGGCCACTTACAAGTTTTCTGACATTGAGCTTGTTATTTTGTCTCTAATAACACCCATCTCATGGGAAGGTTTAAAAAGGATGACATATATGTGTCGTTTCTTACTATTCCTATGAAAGAAGTCAGTAAATTGTAGCTGTTACTATTATCTGATCTCTATATGTATACAAATTGTATGGACCTCTGAACAGATAAAAATTACCCAAGATGCATTTCCCTTCACTTTTTGAAGACACACTTCTTCAAGAGATGTGTTTGCCAGAACACTTTAGTATGTAATCTAACCAGGACTTTGGAGAAGGAAAAGATAATGCCATCACAAACAATCCATCACATCCAAGACAAATACAAGATGGGCTCCCACTAACTGTTCTTGCATAGGTAGGTATTGTGTTAAATTAGGTAATCACGGGACCTTAGCATTAATCAGAGATTACATGCCAGAAATATTTATCAGGAAAATTTTATATCCATTTAAAAGTTTCCCTAAAACCCAAAACATAAATATTTAGTTGAATAGAACTCAACCTCAGAAGTTTAGAAATATATACATGTATGTCTCCTGAAAAATATAGATTTGAAAGGTATCATTATTTATAGTGACAGATGCTGTGTGTTTCTATAGCCAAGTTTTATGTCTTACCCTAGTGCAAAAATAGTTCCCTCTATGGAGGCTTTTCCTTTGTAAAGGACAAACTGTTGCTCATGTCTATTATGATGCCTCTATTTATAAGTTGGTAGGAGATTCAAAATTAACTTTTTATACACACATTGTTGACATTTACATAAATATCATTTAATATTCACAAAATCAGTATGGGATAAGTTATGGTATCTCCAGTTCCTGAGGCGGAAATTGAAATTCAGAAAAAAAGAATAAATTACTTAAGGTCATAAGACTTTCAAGTAATGAACTAGAAATCCAAACTCCAGTCCCCTCCCCCATACTGGGGATTAAACCCAGAGCCTTCACACTGAACTACACTATCAGCCCTTTTCATCTTTTATTTTGAGGCAAGATATCACTAAGTTATTAAGTTACCCAGCCTGGGCTCAAACTCTCCCTGCCTTAGACTACCCAAGTCTTGTAAATATAAAAGTCTCAATCTTTCATAGCATTACTGCCTCATGAAAACCATTGATCAAGCTTTTCCCTTTAAGAAATAGCTTTTGGATATTTTATTGGAAGAATGAGCTGTTGATTATAGATAAGTGACTTAAACATGACTGAAACTGAATTTCCTAAATGATTTTTTAGGTTCCCAGAAGTCATGGTACAAATTTGATGGTACAAGTGTTTATATGGCAGGTGACTCAGAGCATGTTTTGCTGTTTTGGAAAACTAAAAGTTCAAGAAGCCTGGAAGTTCTCCTTTTAGAAAAAGAGCACTACTTTTAGGCTTGACTAATGTTAATGTATGTATGATTAACATTTAGTCGAAATTAAAATTCTAGGCTGAAGCTATAGCTCAGTGGTAGAGCACTGCTTAATTATTGTTCAAGGTCCTAAATTTGATCCCCAACACCACAAACATAAATTTAAAAAATATAATTCTTAATACTGCAATCCTCAGCATGACCAATGAATAATGTAGAAATCAGTACCTGCGCTTTATATTTTTTGGTGATGATAAAGTATATTTTAAGTAACTGAATTTTAATATTTGTAAACTCATGAATGAATTAGAAAGAAACATACTAAAAGAGGTCTTAGTAGGTATAAATGGCTGTGGTTGCCTTCAATATAAAAGATTATAGATATTCATGCACATATGTTCAAACATAAGCAAATATGCAGTTTTGTTTTGCTCCTGTTATTTTATCATATTACTTATTACAAATGATTTAATACTGTTGTGATAGTCAATACTGTAAGTTTTTTACTGTTATAATTCTGTGTTTCTTTATCACATCTTCCTAGACATCAACCCAGAAATACAGTGGTACTTTGGATCATGAACTTATTTCTTTCCACAATTCTGGTCGCAAACCAAATTGGACAAGAATCAAATCAAATTTCCCCATGGGTTAACCATTGAATTTGATTCAGTTCTCATCCAATTCAGTTTGCAACCAGAATTACGGAAAGAATTAAGTTCATGAACCAAGGTACCACTGTACAAATTTTGAAAGCAGCAGCCCTACTATTTTAAATTAGATATTCATTGCTACATGGAATAGATATTTTTCAAGGGTTCTTATTATTCTTCAATGCTGGGCCCCTCTTTTCAGAATAATGTTTTTAAATCATTAAAATAGACAGGATTATTAAAGTCAATTATTTTGAAACATACTCAAAATATTTTTGAAATTTGTGATGTGCTTTAATTTATACATTAAATGACAAGATCTACCAACAGTCTAATAGCTATTATATAATTGTTTCTCGGCCTTTTGGCTAAGATCAAGTCTATTAGCTATTATATTTTCAAGTTGTGATAAAGATAAATGACTTTACAAGATATCTGTAACATCTATACTATGATAGGAAAAGATCTGTGTTTTCTATTGGTGACATCAGTGATAAGTCAAAGGAACTGTTAATAATACTAGATGTCTTCTGTCTATTTATAACGGAGAGAGATACTAAATTTCAGTTGAATGAAAGTAAGACTATATTAGGGTTCTCTAGAAGAACAGATTCAATATAAAATATATACATGATTAACAAGGGATTTTATTAGATAAATTTACCGGCTCATCTAAAATGGCCATCTGGGCACTGGAGAGCTAAGGGGGATCCAGGAGCAGTCGAAGGCTGATGGCCTGGAAGCTCACTGCGGGATCACCAGTGTGAGTCTGCACAAGCCAAAGAGTTTGGGTTGCATGGCTAAAGAGTCTGCCCAGGAAGGCTGAAGAAGCTGAACACCAATATTCAAAAGTAACTGCAAGGTCAGAGCTCCCCCCAAAACAAGGAAAACTTTTCCTTCCGTATTCTCTCCAAGCTACAAGCCTATTGGTTGGTGCCACCAGTGGGTCTTCTCCCCTCAGTTTGCTGACTTATGAGTCAGTCATCCACAGACACACTCAGAATTTACTAATCTGCTAGGCAGTTCTTACTCAAGTTGATACATTACAATTAATGATCACAAAGATGTACATTTTTTTTTCCAACCAAATATATACTACACATGGGACTTCCTGGGTTCCACAGGACCCACATTAAAAATAACCTGTACTAATCTATTTTCTAAATGCTTATATCAGCAATGATTTACTATTATTGTGTGCTACAGAGCTTCTACTTTAACATCCTTATAATATGCCAGTGCCTTTCTTCAGGTCTTCATAAATTCTCCCATGGACCGTCTACAACAGCCTTCCGGCTGCTCTCCACCTACAGCGTTATCCTCCCTCCCAACGCCATTTCTCTACCAGCATTCTCCAAACTTTGAAAACTGCACATCTGTGAGTGGAAATGTTGAACACACACTACCACGTGTGCACACTGATATTTTTCTAAGTAATGAATAATTATTCTTATACATGTGTTATAAAATGTTTATATGAAGCATTTTAAACAGAGAAATTAAAACATGAGTAGAAATAGAAGTTCTGAAATGATCACCTCTATCCAGTGAATTATTTACCTGATTTTGTCTTAAAATCTTTCTTTAGCTTCTGTTTGCTTTATTTAAAATCATTCTAGCCTTGGACGTTTTTGTTCATTTACTTATGTAAGAGTATTAACAAATAAAATAAAATTCTTATATTAGGCTTTGAACAGTAAGAATCCCGGAATCCTCTCATTATTCCACAGCCTGTGCAATGCTCTATTAGTAAAGAAACTTCCAGGTCCATAGAACCTGTTTAAAAATCACCACCCAGCCCAGGGATTTAGCTCAGTGGTTTGGCCGCCAGCTGTGCAAGCGCAAGGACCCGAGTTCAATCCCTGGTACCAAAAATTAAAAAAAAAAAAAAAATCACCACCCTAAATGTTGACATCCAAAGTAATTAGTGTGGCATATAAGGCCCTTCACCATCTGCTTCCTGCCTACCTTCTCAGTTTCATCTTCTAATAGCATTTAGGCCACCCTATGTGCCCGCGTTCCCACTTTAATTATTCTTTCCATGGAGCTTTTCCTTGGCATATCGTTTCTCCTTTGGAATTCTCCTCTTATCTCATCTATCAAGTATACTCTTATTCACAAATTGTCATTGCCTACAGATAATTTCTCCTAGTTCTAACAATTCCCCTCCTATGTGTACAATACTTGATACAAAGTAGGGTTCCAAAATTATTGATTCCATGAATTGAGGAGGTATGGAAATATATAATATCCATTATTCATTCCTCATTTCTCAATTCTATAAGCACTTAGCAAAAATATAGGTAGTGCATAGTTTTATTTTTAGTGTTGTTTTAGTAGTATATACCTTTGTACTTGTGTGTGTATACCTTTGCCAAAACCAAGAGGGTTTTTGAAATTTCTCAATGAAAGATATTTTGCTTTTGTTGGAGAAAAAGTTACTTTAAAAAATAGCAAATCAAGCATTGCTGGACTCTGATGTTCATAAATTAAAACTGTAGCATTCAAAGCTCTTCACTAACTTTCCTTTGCTTTCCCTCTAACTCTCTCACCTACCATTTCTCTATTCTAAGGCCGGACAGCCCCCTGACAATATGCACAAGCAATGTTAGGTTTTATTTCCAAGCCTCTTCTTATACTGTATTCCTCTTAGAACATCCTCATCTTCCCTTCTGTGTTTCCTATTCATATACTTTCCAATAAGAAACATCCAGTTCAACAACTACCACTTCTAAACAGTTCATATTGATCTCTTCTGACCTGAACTTTATTGCCAGTATTTGCTTTATTTCATTTAGCAATTAATCCCACATTGCCTTGCATTACTATGTAGATCTTTCAAGTCCTTTTGTCCTGTCTACCCACAAAAGACACAAGTCTGGGCCAGAGATTTAGCTCAGTGATGCTGCTGCCTGCCTCGCAAGCGCAAGGTCCTGAGTTAGATCACCAGTACCAAAAAAAAAAGTCAAGTCCTGAATTATCAAAGATGTAGCATTTTGTGTTTATTCACATTATCTTATGTGTGAATATACATAACAGATGCTCTACAAGTACAGTAATTATTTTACAATTGTATATCTTAGAACATGTCCAAGGACTAGAACATTTTTCAATTTTGTTTAAATTAATTGATTCAGTCTTTCATCAACAAAAGTAGATATTAAAAATATATTAGCACAAGTAAATAAACATTATTTTATATTTGGACAGCAACTTACATGTAACCAAGATTTGAATATCTAACATAAAAACAGAACTGTGGATCAGTACTGAATAGTAGAAGTCTTCTTGGGTACTATATTGGCAAGAACACTGGATTGAGATTTAGAAAGCATAGTTTTAGTCCTGGATACCTCACAGCAGGGAAACAACTCTGTGTGATCTGAGTTTCAGTTATATATTTCTAAAAGAGTGTTGACATTAGTCATTTTTGTCATCCATTCCACTTTCTCCCACTCCTGACCCCTAAATTATCTGATTTGTCTTTAGGAGAAGGTACAGATGTAAGAAAAATATAAGAATTCCAAGAGGCATTGATGGAAATCTTTCCCTCTTCCTATATTAGGCAGAATAATAACTCCACCAAGGTAGCCACATGCCCTAGTCCCCACAAATTGTGGACATGTTCTGCTACATAACAAAGAGGTTTTACAGTTGCAGAAGAAATTAGAATCATTAACCAACTGACATAATAAGGAGATTTATCCAGGTGGGCTTACATAAATTATAAGGGACCTTTCAACATGGAAGATGGGGCAGAAGTTTGTGGCAGATGATGCAGAGCAAAAAAAACCTTAGCCTCCATTTCTGGTTCTGAAGCTGGAAGGGACTGGGAGTCAAAAAAGACAGTCATTAGGTGGGGAAGAGATTGTTTCCCCAGGGCTCAGAAGGAACTGGCCCGCCAACATTTCAGCATTAGCCCTCTAGCACCCATTCTGGACTTGACCTCTACAATGGTAAGATAATAAATTTGGGGTGCTTAAAGTCCCTTACTCACCCAGTGCATCGTAAGTTGTTACAACAGCAATAGGAAACTAATACAACTCCCACTGAACAAAAGAGATTAATAAAAGAAAAAACTGTAAACTTTTTCTAGGGAAGGAATGTGATGATAATAAATCAACATGACATATACAAACTAGCAACAGTCACTTTAGGGACTGTGAAATCCTCATTTGTTAAAATGAAAGTAGAATAACTCAGCCACTTATATACTTTACGAAGCACTTATTTTCATCTTCCTGGTCTCAGAAGACAGATCGGTTTGGGCATAATAAATATTACAGAATAGCATTACCAACATTTTTTTTTCATTGTCTGGGAGGGTTTTTTTGTTGTTTTTTTTCCCTAAACATGATTACTACAAATAAGCCATCCTGACTGTAGAATCTAGTGCCTTCAGGAATTTAGAAGATAATTAAATTTAAAAGGAACATTTATGATCATTTAGCTTACTCCCTTCATTTGAGAGATAAATTATTGAACTCTAGAGATAAAGAGACTTGACCAAAGTGACTCGGTTTTTATTATCCAAGTGGAAAGTGAAATGCCACTCCCTCCTGATCCTCCAGACGAGGGTCACTGGCAGAAGGTGAGAAGGACGAAAGGGAGGATGAGAAGAGAGGGGAACCTGAAGAAGAGGGAGCAGCCACACAAAGGAGCTTGGATTTACTCAGAATGCAACAGGAATCCAGGGATATGTTGTATATTTTTAATGCATAAATTTAACATAAATTTAATAACATGAATATACAAATTTAATCTAGTAGAGATACGAAAATGAAAGTAGAGACCAGTCACAAGGTTATTGCAATATTAGAGTGAGAGATGATGGCACATGGAAGAGGGTGGTAGTCAAGGTGGCAATGAGAAATAGATCAATTCAGGATCTACTCTGGGGTTACGAACGACAGGACTCATTGTTAGGCTAGGGATGGGTAAGGAAAATAGTGAAATCAGATACTATTCCAAGAGTGTGACTTAATGTCGCCACATCCTGAAGTGGGAAAAATAAGGGGGAAAATAAGAATTCACTGTATCTTTTAAGTTCAAAACACCAATTAAACATTAATAGGTAATTTCTTGATTCGGTCCTTACATGTCTACTTTTGCGTAGAGCTTTCTCCCAGGAATAACAACACACACTTACTCTTCTTATGCAGCTTTAATTGAAGGAGGAACTAAGCATGAGTGGTGTTGCATAAGAGGAGTTCAAAGATGTCTGCAAGGGAAGGCAGCAAAGGATTCACCATGAGACAGGTACTAACAAAGTGCTATAGTAGTCATAAGGAGACTGTTTCTCACTGGAAACGAAAAGAATAATTGAGGAAGTATTATTGAAAAAGGGTCTTTTTGGAGTGACAGGTGGTATTCCAGAGAAAACTGTTCTCAAAGGTGAGGTGGTGTGGTAGTTCACAGCATGCCCAAAGAAATAGAGCACTCTTATGTTGATAGATTTGTTCATTCATGAAGTATTTATTGAAAACGTAGTATATGTCAAGTATTATGTTACCTGATAAGGATTCAAAGATGTGGCAGACACAGAACTGTGGTCCTCAGGAGCTTTACTGAGTAGAGTAGAATAAATTCAAGAACATATGGAAAAGATATGAAAACAAATACTTATTCATACATTTGTCATTCTTTCACTAGATATTTGTCGAGCATCTACTTGTTCTATAAGTTGCACATTGTTCTAAGACATATTCTGATATAAGTGGATGTGCTTATGAAAATACTAGGCAAGAAACAGTAAAGTCCAGGTGGTTTTACTTTGGGATGTGATTGTGATTATTTAGGAAAGGTTTTACAAACCAGTCAACTCTTAAATTACAGTAGTTGGAGTTATGACCAAAATACAATACAGTAACATACTATGGAGGGCCCATAAGCCAGTCCAAGGAGTTTGGGCGGTATACTGTTGGCAATAGGAAGTCATTGAAAGGTTTTTAACACCTTAAGTGGCAGAATTAGAGTTTTCATTTGGCGCTTAGTAACTTGATATAGACAGAACTAAAGAAGGATAAGCAGAGAGAGAAAGAGAAGTTTTGAAAGACTTTCAGTCTCCCAGAGGAAAAGTGATGGAGATCTGGTCTGAGGTGGAGATAGCAGGTGTGGAGAGCTCAGGAGCCACTGCAGAGGTCAAATAAATGAGACGGGGGCCGCTAACCCGCCATACCTTCTTTGTTTCCACATCCAAGCCAGATGACTGCTGCAAACGAAAGCAGCTTGATGGGTAAAGATGCACTGAAATTAAGGCACTCAGAAGGATAGGAACGCAAAATGTATTCTACTTCCACTACAGAAAACTGCTTTGCAGTTTCTCAAGAAGTTAAACATAGTGTTACCGCGATATCCAACAATTCCACTCCTAGGGATATTTACCAAAGAACTGAAATCATGTCTACACAAAACCCTATACAGGAATATTTACAGCAGAGTCAGTTGCAAATAGCCCAGAGAAGAAACAGACGTCCATCAACAGATGAATGACAAAGAAAACGTGGCACAGCCATGGAATGAAATATTAATCATCTTTGAAAATGAAGCACTACTTCATGCTACAATGAGGATGAACCTTGAAATATATCAAGTAAAAGGAACTAGACACAAAAAGTGACATATTATATATTTGCATTTATTTTTTGATTCTCTTTAAATGTCTACATTAAGCAAATAATTAGAGGCAGAAAATAGATTTATGGTTTCCAGGGGTTTTGATGGGCATGGATAGAAAATGACTGCTAATGTTTTCGGAGTTTCTTTGAGGGGATGATAAAAATGTAAAATCAGATAGTGGTGCTTGCTGCACAACCCTATGAATATACCAAAAATCATTGAATTGTATACTTTAAAAGGGTAAATTTTATGGCCTATAATTTGTATCAGTCAGTGCTTACTATAGAAACAGATTTAATCCAAGATATACAAATATATAAAGATTTACAAGATTGGTTTACAATGGCTGCCCACAAAATCAAGTATTACAAAATCAGGTGTGGAAGAGTGGAAAAAGGTCTGTCTGCATGATCCAGAGGATCCAGTCGAAGGCTCACTGTAGTGTCCTGGGCAAGTCCATATCAGGAGGCTGAAGGGTCTGCACTGAAAGGCTGAAGATGATATCCAAGGTGAAGGTGAAGACTAGAGCTCCTTGGAAGAAACAGAAGCAAGGCTTCCGTCTTCATTTCCCCTTTCTACCATTCAGGTGACAGGCCAGCCTAAGGTGGGTCTTCGGTCTTCAGTAAATCTCCAGCCACACTCAGAATTATGTTGGTCCAAACTTAGTTGGGCGTTTCCTACTCAAGTTGCCACTATCGGTTAACTATCACATAATTTACAAGTCAGTGACTTTACTGGATAAAGAAAATGTGGGGTTTTTTTATAAAATGGAGTACTACTCAGCCATAAAGAATGAAAAACTAGAGTCATTTATAACTAAATGGATGCATGTGGAGGCCGTACTCTTAAGTGAAATAAATAGGACACACATGTGTAAATACCGAATAGTTTCTCTAGTGTGAGAAACTGATAGTGTAAACAAGGGTTAAAATGATTAAAATGAATAATTGATAATTTGAAATAGGAAAACAGGTCCAAAGACGAAGGTGTGAAGGGAGGGGAAGGGGAAAGGAAAAGAGGGAAAGGAAAATCTATGAGAAAAGAAAAAAAATGGAAATGAAATCTATGTAAATAGGGAAGGGCGGAGGGGGTGAAGGGTGCACAGGTAATGGGGGAAAAAATAAGAACCAAGATCTATCATGTACAGGTACAGACACCCACTGATAAATGTAAACGAATTGTATACCTAAAGTGTACCAATAAAAGAACTAAAAAAAAAAAGTCAGTGACTTCAAGATTCCATAGAGCATTACCAGGATATAGTGAACACAAGGAGGGACAGATTTAGAGGAAGAAAAAATGAGTTTGGGTCATACTAAAATTAAGACTAATATTTGTAAATATTTAGATAGAAATATCTATTATTGGAAATATGTTTGTCTAAAGTTTGGAAGAGGTGGATTTGAGTATTGTCTATATGGAAGTGATTGGAAACATAGGAGTGTATAAAATTCTGAGAGTGAAAAGATACGATCAAGACAAGATGAAGTGTTGACACACATTGTAGAAAGGCATCAATGGGGAGAACATTATCCCCAAAAGAAAGAAAAACTATCTGAAAAAAATGCCTGTAAAATATAGAGAACTGATGTATATGGCCAGTGTGGCAGAGCACAGAGGTAAAGGCGGAAAGATGAACCTGGATGGGTCATCAGAGGTGAGTTCATAGAAACTTTGTAGGCAGGGATCAGGATGCTTGGTCCTTCTCTTAAGAATAATGTGAAGCTATTTAATACGTATAGTCATAATTAAATTTGCATTTTTAAATGATCACTCTAGCTGTAACGTGGAGAATAATTTAGAGAGAGGTCTGGCCAAAAATGGTGATGAGAGATACTAATCTGATATAGCATGGTGACAGTGTAGTTGAAGAGATTTGAGGATTTCAGCAACCTTAGTATGGATCAAATATGGATGGTGAAGGAGAGGCAAGTGTCACAGAATAGGTCTCATTTTCTGCCTTTGGTTGTTGCTTGAATGGATAGCGGTCCCCTTGAACGGGATAGAAAAGAAATCCATTGTTGGAGATGAGTGGAAAGGTGGCAGTCAGAATCCACAATTGAGAAGAAAGCTGTGCGTACAAGTCTGCTGCCCAGCAGAGAGCTCTGAGGTGAAGATGGTAGCTTAGACATGGTCAGCACGCGGTTAGTAGTTGAGGCCATGGAGTGAATGAGATTGATTAGGGAGAGAGAACACAGCCAGAAGCAAACAAGACCAGTCTAGAGCTACAAGATTAATGACTATAATAAGCTTACAGAACACAAGCATTTAACTGTCAAATTGAGGAGAGTGAGCCAGTAAAAGAGTGGGAGAAAAGAGTTGATGAGAGAAGTAGAAAGGACATCAGGATAATCCAGTGTTATAGAAACCAAGGAAAAGGGTTCAAAGAGAAACAAGTAAATAGCTTTGGGTGATGTTAAATGACGAACAACAATAAAGACTAAAAATGTTGGTTGTAAAAAATTAATATAATCCTATGGCAACAATTTACCATAATAGATTAAATTACAAAACTGAAATCTGAACTCAACTTTTTAATAAGAATGTGTGACTGATAGTGTTTCTTGTTGTACATGCTTTGCAAATGCTGAAAGGAGTCCCTGTTAATGACTGGGGAACTGAAACTTGGTAGCATTCCAAGAAGCTTTCGTAAGAAGCCATGACTCAGCCATCTGGAGAGTGCTCCAGAGATTTCCAAACCCGTAGCCTCCTGACTTCCCCCTTCCTACAATCTCCACCCAAAAAAGACCAGGAAGGTAGAAATGAACTTGGAATTTCTATAATTTCTGATAGTTTCTAAAAACAAAGAAGGTAGACACCCATATTCAACTCATCAAGTCTTTTGATAGCACAAAAACACATTATTTCATAAGTCCATCTTCCCACTTTCATATAACCCATTCCCACTTCAGCAACCTAAAAGTTCATGCTCTGATTCTTCTTTCTGAAAATAAGTTGGGGTTTATCAATTATAAGTGTAACAACACTAGCAATGTAAATTACAGCAGTGTCCAACCCTTTTTGCAAAATTGTCATAGCCCAGTAATGACTCCAGTCTTGATGGTTATCAGTGAGGTAGGATGGTGATTTTCTGTTATTTAGGGTAATTCAATCCAAGCAGAACATAAACATTAGGAAAATTTATACTTTTGGCTAGATCTATTTTACATGCATTTGAAAGCTAGCTGTATTTAATCACTTTTTATTACATAAACTAATGATGTGGATAATGTTATTGACTTTTTATTCATCTCTTAATGGGTAGTTTCAGAGCTAACCCACATAAATGTCCTCCTACAGTGCTGCTAAATGATATGATTAAAGTCATATAGGAAAATGACAAATCATTCATCAAGAACCACAACCCGAAGTTACAGGGGTGATAAAATGGAGCTGAAAGGTATGTATAAGACCTCTCACAATTGTTCAAGAAATAGTAAAGTATCTCTCTGTTTGATTGTACACTGTGAGTAAAAGCTAGGCTGCCCTACTAAACTTCTTTTTACCAAGCTAATCAGCCAAGTTTGACGTTCAGGGTGTGTGTACTTCCCAACTAATGGGCCATTAGTGAGCCCTTACTTTTTCAGAAGCTAAGCCTTGGTAGTAATGGTTTTGGACTGTACAGTACGTCTATTCTTTCTTTTTCTCGTCTTCCTTTCTTTGCTGCCTATTTTTGAAATATGCCATCCCTTGTTAATATTTCCACTTGGTAAGAAAGCAGAGAAAGGAGCTGAAACTTAATTCTGTTCACTTTACTTTTTGCTAGCAGCAATGGTAGAAGATTTCTTACAGGAAGAGGTTGAAGGTATTGGCTGAAATGCAGCTCAGGGAATATAGCGGATTTCAATAACTTGTGCTCTCGCTCTGTTCTTCAGCCAAATAATCCAGTCCCGGTCATGCAGTTAACTACTCAAATCCAGTCATCTCGAGTGTGGTGTGTTCACACACCCTGCTTTCTCTTCTCCGCTGCTCTATCTACCCGACTTGGTCAGCAGTCTCATGCATTACTAACTCTGTCTGGAGACAGCAGCCCAGGTGAAGTATGCCTTCTAGAAAAGTGAGAAATTACAGTGCCAAAGACACAGCCCTCTGAGGTGACTTAGAATCAACTGGGCCGAGATTCTGCACTTCTAGCAAGCTGCCTTGTGATCCTATCATATTGCTGCTGGTCCATGGATCCAAGCAGAGGAAGCTTAAGAAGACTGTTGTGGACAACAGTAGATAAGAACTCATCTTACTTTTCAAATAAGGTATTGGAATATAGGTAAAACAATAGATATTCTGAGTTACATTTTTATTCAAATACAGGAAGATATATATATTTGCCATGCATCAGTGACTTTCAAACATGTTTTATTAAAAGCAAAATTCCTTTTACAAAAGAAATATTTTATGAAACTTCTATATATAAAATCTAGAAAAGTGGCTGTATGAGGGGTGGGTCCAACACTTGCACCCACATGACTCCCTCTCAGCTTCCACAGCCAGAAGGGTCTCAGTGGAACTTGGCTTTCCAAAGGACAAATTTAAAACCACTACTTTAGGCTGCAGTTCGTACCTCCTAGATACAAGGTAATATACATTCATTCAGCACACATTTATTGAGTGCCTGCTGTGTGCCTGTACCATAGGTGAACTTATATTCTAGAGGACAGGTCAGCAATAAATAATAAACAGATCAAATACATTAGAAAGAGATAAGAGCTATCAAAGTAATGAAGCCCACAACTAGAGGATGCAGAGTCATTTACAATTCTATCTGCCATGGGTCAACAGAGGCCTCATTGAGGAAGGACCCAAGCAGACACTTCTAATTTTGATCCGGTGCTTACAGTAGTGGTTACATGAACCCATGGTAAAGGCTGCTTCTAAGACCCAGCACACATGAGTTCGTCTTAAAGGGCACCAGAGCCAACTCATGGTGGTTATTGATCTTGCAGCTCTCCTGGCCCGGACCGCATCTCTCAGATCCCCAGGTGGCGTGAAGCCATACACTGGTTTCTGTACTGCCGTCTTGCAGAGATCAGTCAGGGTCTTGGAGTCAGTATCAGTTATTCACTCATCCATCCACCAATCCTGTGTTTATTTTCTACCATGTCGGGGACCATAAACCAGGGCTCAATCCAATGAGGTCTTTCCTATTTATTACTCAAGAAGTGTGCAATGTAGTCAGAAGTACACATACATGAAATACCAGTCCCAAAACAACATGTTAGGGGCAAAACAAAGTTATGCACCTGGCTAATGAGAATCCAGAGGGCATCAACCTAGGCCTGGGGGAACATAAGGCCACTGACATAAAGGACGAAAAAGCCTTCAGTGATGGCAGCCTGCCCTCCTTCCTAACAAATTCACTGGCTGAATAATTACCCTCCACAAGTCTGAAACACTTTATAAATAGCAAATTCTGACATGGGTTTTTTTTTCTTCACCAAATAATTGTTAATTGAAGTAAATTGTTACCTTCAGATATTCTTGGACTCTACATTAGTGAAATGTTTTTCTTTGTTTATAAAGTAATTTATTTTGCTATACATTCCTTGTGAATGACACTTCATCATGCTGAAATGCATTTTCTTTATTGTCTGTGGAGTAACCCAGGGGTAATAAATGTGTCGCTATATTTTGTAGACTGGAAAGTGTGTTGAGTAGAAGAGCAACAGAGGAAGGGCAGAGGGGGAGGGAAGGAGAGACAGGTTCGTAGAGAGAAAGGCAGAGAGTGAGCAAAATGAAGCCCTACAGCAGGGAGAGCAAAATTATGTTTTACCCGTGTGATAAAGCATTTTGGCAAAGGTTATATCCAGGAGATGCAGCATGGCTTATGCCAGGAAGGCCAGGAGTCAGCCTGCAGATAGTCACTTCTAATGTCTTTGTCCGGAAACAAGCTACCCAGAAGAGGAGCTGGATAAATGGCAAGATATCCCAGTACAATGGATTTTCTTTTCATAGGACCAGACTTTTCAATTGAGAGATCAAAAAGGAAATCTCAGAACGGAAACCAGATTTCAAAGGATGTCACCAGAGCCGTGCTCATAGGCCTGGGTGGTTCCTTTATTCTTACATCCCACCCTGGCCTTTCAGGGTGTCATGCAGATTTCTTCTGGCTGTGACCCTCCAGCCTGAGGGGGGTGTGCTCCAGTGAGTTGGCAAGCTCTTTTTGCTTCCAGGAAACAGCAACATTTTGCCCTGAGGAGTGACTTCTCTAGCCCCAAATCCCGGTGCACTGAGGGTGGCCCCAGTGCTGCCTTTGCTCTTTTCTGTCCACCTCCTGCTTTCTTGCCCACTCAGTCAGATAGCAGCTGCCAAAAATAGTTAGGGCTCCTTTAGTCCTTCTGGACAAGTACTTGCTTACCACCTCACCCCTTCAAGCTAAAGAAACTCCATCTCAACTGTTCCTGGGACTGTGTCTCGTGACGCAAATGGGCGCACAGCCAGTTCTTAAGTGGTCCCACCCCTCCACTATCTCCATGTCTATCTACATAGGTGGTCATCAATCCTGGGAGCTCCTCTACCCCTACAAGCAGGCAGGCTAAGTCTGACAGTGTGGAGAAGAAGAACAAATGCTTCTTTCCTTGCCTGGTTCTACTTTAAAAGCTTGTTTTTATAAAAAGAAGAACCACACTGAATGCATAGATTGCTCTTTCTGAGAATGACTTAGTGGGATAATTTATAGAAAGCCATAGTTTGGAGACCTTTTCTCAAATTACATTACATTTCAGCCATAATGTCAGATGATAACCGCAAACATCCCTTGCTTCCCTTATAACCTATTAGTGTTGTCTATAAATTTACCTATGTACACTCACTAATTTTTTTCATATACTGCCCCTTAAGAAAATATGCTCCTGGGGGGCCGGGGATTTAGCTCAGTGGTTTCAACGCCTACTATGCAAGCTCAAGGACCTGAGTTCAATCCCCAGTACCAAAAAAAAAAAAGAAAGAAAGAAAATATGCTCCTGGGGCCGGGGATTTAGCTCAGTGGTTCTGCCACTTGCCTCGCAAGCGCAAGGTCCCTAGTTTGATCCCTGGTACCAAAAAAAAAAAAAAGAAAATATGCTCCTTTATTGTTCTGGTGTAAAGTACTTCTTTCTTCTTTCTGAGTCTGTTAAATTTATCTTTTTAATCCTAACTTCCAGCATTTGGTGAATAAATCTATGCTCTGTACAATATGAGATTTTGATTAATTCATGTATCTATTTAATAAACAATGAGTACTCTTTATAGCTAAAGTCTTTTACTCTTTGGTACAGTGTGTCTTCCCAGAGCTGCATTTTTCTCTCCTAACTTATATGCTTGGCCCTAACTGCTTCACAGGCGCCATTACCTGTCTTAATGACTTGCAGCCAGTATTTCCCCCAGCACCCTAGCAGTTTTGATGCAAAGATAGGATAATACTCTCTTTTGTTCCCAATACTCCTTTGAATGGTGGCCTACTTTTGTTATTACTTTACTTCTTTACTAGGCATTATTGGTAGTTATTATTTACAACTGTTTCATAGCAACACCTGAGTGTTTAGGGCTAATACTACTTTGGGGCACTTTCCCTCAGTGCCATTATCCTCCCTTTGCCCATACTAAACTGCATATGACATTTTCAAAGCTACTTGAAAAGTCTGGAAAGATCATTGTTTAGCGTCTTACTCTCTGAAGGATTTTATCCTGTCCTGCTTCTTCAGTTCAGGTCAACCCATAAGCAGTTATACCTAACGGTTCTCGATTAGCCTATTAAGTATTATAGCAAATAAAAATTTTAGCAAAACCAATTATTTCCTCAGTCCCTGTGGATTCTACCTGATCACAGAGAACACAGAGCACTGTGTCATACTAAACCCACAAATAATTCATCAGCCTCCTTCACAACCATGAGCTCACTAACTTCCGAAACTTCTCTTACATATGGTTTTTCACCTTCTTTACCCTTATGCTTTATCTTTCTATCAGAAGAGTTTTTGAATGGTAAGAAGCTCTGAGGATATTACTAAAGATGTGAACAGTTACCTAGATGTAAGCCAAATCCTTTCTAAGCAAAGCAGTTGAAACTATAACTTTTTATTAGGGATGATTTCAGAGCATGAAAACAGACGCTACCTGTCCCTCAAAGCTCATGCCCCCTTCTTCTCGGCACACACCTGGACTTCGTTTTGCAGGCTCCTTCCGTGTCAGTGTGGCCACGTGCCCCAACCCCAGCTATTACCCATCGCACTGAGCCTTACATGTGTAGAGCTATTTCTGACCTCTACATGGCGTAATTTGGCTAGCAAAACAACTTTTCTCTCAGAATCTGGTCTCTCTCTGCCAGGAGAGATGATTTCCTATCCAGTAAGCAGATGCCCAGGCTGCCCAGGCATGAGGTAGAGCTCCTAGAGAGAGAAGGCTGCTCTATTATCAGCCCATTGGGTCTGTGATTTTAAGAAATGAGAAAGGAGTTTTATATGGATTAGTAGCAAGTGTGGTGATGAATATGTCCCTAGGTCTAATTCATTGATTTTTTTTTCTCCCCAGGCCCTTTTTCTCACAGGTTCTGCGGAAGAAGAAACAATCAGAGAGATAACTCTGTGAGTTTTCACAATAAATGCAATCAGCAGCACAATAAATTATACATTTTCATCATCCCTAGTATACCTCCATGTCCTTTGTGGCCAACCAGTGAGACCCCTTGATCTGTTTTCTGCAGAATGTCATATAAAAGAAATCACAGCATTTCAATGCAGTCTTTTGATAATGGTTTCTTTCATTAACTACAGCATTAAAGCTTTATTCTTGGTTTATGTATTATTATCACTTCCTTTTTTCACTGAGTTGTATTTGCTTATATTGATATATCACATCTTGCTTATCTATTCCATAATTGAGAGATTTTTTTTATTTTGGTTAATCTAAAAATGGTAAAAATGCATGTATAAATTTTTGTGTGAATGTAGGCTGTATTTCACTTGACTAACAAGTGAAATAAAAATAACAAACAATGAGATTGCTGGGTTGTACGTCAAATGTATGTTTATAAGAAACTATCAAAGTGTTTTCCATAGTTCTTTTCTTACAGTCTCACCAGAGTTCCAGGTTTATTTTTGTAGTTTACTCACTCTCTCAATGTCATAAATTAATTTGCCTATTCTTGAACATCAAATAATGGAATTATTTATGTGGCTTCTTTTGCTTAATATAAAGTTTGTAGAATTCATTCATGTTATTCCATGTAATAAGAGTTTATTCTTTTTTGCTGATGAATAGTATTCTGTAATATGAATACAAACCTGTTTTGTTTATTCATTCATTTGTTGTTGGACATTTGGGTTGTAAGAAACAGCAGGGAAGTCACAATAGTTTTGTGGTGTGTGTGTGTGTGTGTGTGTGTGTTGGTTAATCAGCAGTTTCCACAATAAAGATAGGCTTAAAATAAGTAAATACTCTATAAAGTAGATGGTTATTTTTCCAGCTAAAAGCAGGAAGAAGTTTTTCTTATAAAACAGAGGATTTGAGGTAGAATTACTTTTTTTTTTTTTTTTTTTTGGTGGTACCAGGGGTCAAACTCAGGACCTTGTGCTTGCAAGGCAAGCGTGGTGCCACTGAGCTAAATCCCCAGCCCTAACTTTCTAAAGTGCAAAACTGATGATGGTCCACAATTTCAAACAGCTAAAATTCCTATAGTTTGGGCTACTATGATTAAAGTTCCAGTGCATATCCTTATAAACTTTTTTTAAAATATATGTTAAGCTTTTGTGGGTATCCACCTGGAAGTACAATCACAGAGTTATATAATAGCCATGTGTTTAACTTCATTGGAAATTCCTACATCCAAATTTGTGTGATTTTTTTCTTAAAAGAGGATCCTTAAATCTTTGTGATGTTCAGGTCTCATAAAGCTGAGTAGTCACTACCAAGAATATTTCTGCTGAGGCCAAACTCATCCTCAAATCTCCCAGTGAGTTGACTCCAAACACACACAGCAAGTCTAGGAGTCCTCAGCCTTATTTTCCTGAGTGCAGCTTCCTGCTGGCAGGTACTGTAGACAGAGCTTGGTGGACAGCCTAAAACATATGGCCCGCAGTCAGTGGACCTGCATATTCTGAGGGAAGGGACAGTTATCCTAGTAAATCAGGGCCATAATCCCTCCTGGCTAACACTCTGTTAATTAGATACTGCAGTTTATAAACCTTTGGATCTTGATATATCTGGATCATGGCATATACCCTCTTCTTCACTTGCAGGATGTTGGCAGAGGCCCAACAAGTCATTACAATATATTTGTAATGCAAGTTCTCTCTATGGCCAGGAAACAGTGCCTACTTGTTTATCCATCATAGTTCAAAATGCAGGAACTGAGGTGTGGTATTATATGCAGGCAGGACTTTGTGTGTTGGCAAGCCCATCCCTGCACCACTGGGTGAAGACTAGTCAGTCAATAACTTTGCCTCAGCTACAGTGTTTCTGCACGTATCAAGAAGCTAAATACTTCCCCATCCCTGGCCGTGGTCTAACTCCTGGGTCAGTTTGTTTCCCAGCTTTGCTGGATTGCCTTACACATGGTTCATTTCAGAAAATGGCCCAGTGATGAAAGACCGTGAAGTTTGTCTGTGGTTATTGCTACTTACTGTGCACCAAAAGAATGCTCACCTCACCATGTCCTCCAAAGAACACACTTCTCATGCTTGGGAACCTGATTACAATGGTCTGATTAACCCACCAGGGGCTCAGACGGGTTTTAGTCAGTGCAAATTTACCTGAGCACTAGTCTTTCAGTTAATCCTATCAAAGGTTGTAGGCTAAAGGGGATGAGATTACAAATCCAAACATATTTACACAGATGTCTTTTTTGGGGCCTGCTACACAGCCAGAATTGCATTTACATCTTGTAACAAAATCACAATTATCACAGACCCTCTTTGTTAGACATTTAAGACCAGGATATTGAGAGAGAAAGGGGAATTGGGGGCAGGGTAGAAAATGGATAGAGTTTAATCGGGGGAGGAAAAGCGCCTGGGGAAAGGCTTCTAGCAGCAATCAGCTGAGAACAGCAGGTCTGTGTTCAGACTGTGTTGTTATTTTCTGATTAGGCTGGGTCATTTGTCTAATCAGATTTTCTGCTCCTCTGCTATCCAGTTTATTAGGCCCTTTCTACATGTGCAGCTTAGGGTCCCCTCATGGTCACAAGATGATTCAAAGTAACAGCCAACAAAGCCACTTTTCATGGGATGGTATTTATTAGGCTTATTCCAAGTCAGGCTCACTGACTCTGAATAAGGAAAAGGAGAGATTTTCTTTCTCCCACATTTCAGCTGATGAGAAGTCTAGTTTTCATACAATCTAATAAAGAAGTTTCTTGATTACTCAGAAAAGATACACAGGGTAGAACCTGATCTAGTAGAATTCCTTCCACATAAATAAATATTGCTTAAAGCTTACCATGTGCCACACATGGTGCCAGCCAGTGGGCAGAGAATGATGGAGCGAAGGATGGATGAAGGACTTACAGCCAGTACCTATCAATGTACATGGTTTCAGCCAACGAAAAGAAAATCCTTTTCTATCATAGAAAAGTACACAGGTGAAGGGGACACGGGAAGTAATCTTTTGTATCGGCCTTATTCTGCCAGAGGCAAAGTGACATTAGAAAAAAAATTTTTTGCCCCTAAGGGCCAAGTAAGTTTTTGTGTTTTTTGCCTGCCCAGCCTACAAAATAAAGTATTTATGTGAACTACTTTTGAAGACAAAGCAAAATGACACAAGATTTTCACATAATCTTTCTATACTTTTGAACTTTCCTATTTGGGGCCATAGGAATGATGGGAACAATTTGTAAAAATAGTACTTTAAAGAAAATGTATTAAAGTTTAGGATAACTGCCTCATACAGTTGTACACACAGTCATCTTATTTCAGATTCCATGACAAGCAAAATATGGCTATTTAGCAGAGAAGGCAAATTCTATCCTATGGCTAAGAAGAATTGAAGTCCAAATGACATGTGAGAATAAAATTCAACTTACGTTTAAATGCCATCTGCGGATGTTTTCTAGCATGCCTTCAGCTATTTCACAAAGTCATACACTGCACAAGGACTTTTTGAAGATTATGTGTATGTTAAATTGTTTAGAAACCCTTCTCAGAGAGAGATCCTTATAAATTTCCTCTCTTTGCTTTTAAGTCCAGCCATTCCTAGGGCACAATTTCTCATGATTTGAAAAGAAAAATAAATCCTGTTTACTTGTGAGTTCTTCCTGTTTCTGAATCTGTGCTTCAGAAATAGAAATTTGTTATAGGCCTTGCATTTACGATTGTGGAGTCCATGTTTGGTGATAGTAGCATGGGGAAGTGAGTCGTGGAGATACCCTGAAGCCGTTCTGTTTTGGGAATCAACTCAGAAATGGCAAGTTCCAGCTCTGTCAACCACGTATCATTGATCAAGGTACAGTTACTGTGTGACAGGCCCTGAGCTAGATTCTGAAGCCACAAAAACAAAAAGTCCACTTTCAAAGGGTTCAAATACTCTAAAAATAAAGACTGGATGACTCGAAAGGTATGTGCTTCACCTCCTCTATTCTTTTTTTGGGGGGGGTACCAGGGTTTGAACTCGGGTCCTTGCACTTGCAAGGCAGGCAGCAGAACCACTGAGCTAAATCCCTGGCAACCTCCTCTATTCTTGTGATGGGGGCACTTCTCAGCTCCTCCTCTTTGCTCTGGTTTCTGAAATCTGCTCCAAGTGGTTGTCAGAATGTCAAACACTTGCAGGATTTATTCTAGATTCAGATCCACAAACAGGAGACTAGAAAACCAAATATGAATCATGTACAAGAAGGAAGGAGACCTACGAAGTCAGGTTTCTGTTCCAATCTTGACGTGGGCCAAAACTCAGAGCAGACTGCAAGCTGGTACATGCCCCACCTCCCTACCTTCTTCCTATCAGATGGAAACCAAGGATGAGAGCAAGAGCAATGGGAGGCAGCTGGAGTTAGGAGTTCTCTAACTCCTGTCTCTCAACCATTTTTCTCTTGGGGCCTGCAGAACACTCAGACTGGCCTTCCAACCCCTGCTTCCTTAATTTTCCTTAACGTATGATTGTTACCACACTCACAAGTGCTTCTGCCGTCTGCTCAGGACTCTCAGGTTTTTCAGTTCAATCTCTACTCCCTTTATACTCCCATTACCCTCCTTCCATAGCTGGAGGAACTTTCCTCCTTGGATCCCATTATTTTGGCATCCTTTCACCAACTTCTTTGCTAAGCTCCCAGATCCCCACTGTGTTTAGTGGTGTCAATCTAGATACGCCAAACTCAGGGACTTGAAGTGGGTGGGAGTTGTAACTCAGTGGTAGAGCACTTGACTAGAATCCATGAAGCTCTGTGTTCAATTCTCAGCACTAGAAAAAAAAGAATACAGAATATAGTCTTTTTCCATCTTCAACATTTCCTTCTACCATTGTTCAGGAAGAGGTGAAGTCAAACCAGAAAAGGTAATGTATGGAAGGGGGGGGGGGGAGTAAAGACCAGGCAAAAAAAAAAAAAGCCAAATTCAAACTGCCCATAGATATTTGAGTTCCTAGCCCAAATGCCTATAGGTAATAGGAAAGTCATACTCTCCATATTTTCACAGCTCTAGCTTTGAGAAGATTGTTTTATAAGTGGAGGTGTATATTCCTATAATTAGTGTTGCTGGTCTAGCCTTGCCTTTTGAACTGTACGTATGGCTCTTAATGTAATGTGATTGGTGGAACCACTTTCTCCTCCAGACACGATCTTCCCATGAACACAGACTAAGAACTCCTTACATTGGTGGTGGTGGTGGTGGTGGTTTGGTGATGACAGTAATAGTGGTGGTGTCATTGGTCATGGCGCTCATGATGGCCATAGTGATGGGGTTGGTGATGATAGTGGAATTAGGGTAAAGGTGGTGTTAGTGGAGGTCGTGATGACTTCACTGATCATGTAATACTTTTATTTACCAAGTCAGTGAATTAAAACTAGAAATCTGTTTTACTGCTATTCCTATACCCACCCATCATCTTTTCCAAGTACTGTTGGCCTTTTGACTAAGTTGAAACTATTGAACTTTATCTTGGTAGATTTGAGCCAACATAGTGAAGATCATTTTAGATCCTGATTTTGTCATTTTGTGTGCCATTTTTTCTCAGCTTTGGTTCATCTAATGATTAATGAATATGGGTTCTATAATTTTATTCAGGTATCTGATTAAATATGAAGCAAGCAGTATTAAAGTTAGGGCCGATGAAAGGATACTAAAAAGTGTCCATCAGGGT